TACCTTTCCTAAAGCTGAACTCCAGCCTTACCATTTTTTCCCACCCTTGTAGCAAGTCCTCCACTGTATTGAAAGTTATTACTACCAATTCCTTGTAAATTTGCATCTTGACAATATAATCCCTTGAAGCTGCAGCAGCTATCTTGAGCCCACCTTCATTTCCTGTCTGAACGTCCTCCATCATTCAGCACTCATTTTATCCCCCTGTTTCATCCATGTTGTTAGACCCAGGGGCATCTCGAGGCCATGGTACGGGGTGACACCACGGCGTGTCGTCATCGCAAGTGCGCGTGACGTCACCTTGCATGTCATCCCGCATGCGCAGCCATCGGATTGACGCCTGTCGGCGGCCATCTTGGTGATGGACTCCAGCAAAGAGAGGAGGGGACGTTCACCGGTGGGATGAGGTATGCCGCCGGGTCCCCTCCTGTCTACTGACACTGTCGGGCTCTCGGTCCATGACCGAGTCCCCGACTTTTTAGAGGGGGTGACACCAAAATAACTGCAGTCATTTTGGTGTCACCCCTGCAACGGTTGTAGTCAAGAACCAGCTGCACTCCTTACCGGAATAGTAGTAAATCTGCCAAGCACGTGGGTGCTTGTAGTGACCACAGACGGCCCCGTGAACAATGAAGATCTAGAAAGGATTGTCACCAGCACACCAAAAGTTTTGAAGCAATAAGTCCTTTATTGACATGTGTTAGTGACCAGAGAATAAGGGAGCTGGCTCGGCAAATATGCCTTTTTTTTTCTTTTGTAGCACTTAGACACAAACGATCTGTAAGCCCCACTGCAGGGGTTAATAAAACTTTTTCCTGGAGTTCTTCTTCACATTTTAAAATGTTCCCTATAGGATAGCAAGTTTTTACTTTTTTGAGTTTAGGTCCACATTAAAGGGTAACTCCACTGTAAAATGATAAAACTAAATAAATCTTTAAAAAAAAAAAATAGTGCGCACATAATAGTCACACAAACCATTTTATATTTTAATGTCATTAAAAATTACTTTTCCATTTAAAACTGTAGCTGCTGTAATGTTTGAAATCTGTCAAGAAAATGCAATGCAATATGGCGACCTGGAGGTTTTTCGTGCACACTTGGTGTACAGAAAGCCCCCAGAAATGCCACTTCCTGCTTCTGTAATTGGCTGACTGATTTCCCCAGAAATTTGCACTAAGATAGTATAATTTTTGGCAGATGGAGATACTCCCTAAGGGTTAATTACTACTAAAGGGATGCAGATGCTGCAACTTTCACTATTACAACCCAATAAGCCCAACAGTTGATTATAATGAACGCAGACCTTCCTATTCAGTGATCAGTTTGGAAAGGACATGCTGGAATAAACAGCTTTTCCTTCAGCACAGTTTGTTAAAAATCCTTGTAATGTACATTGATCAACCAGAGAGGATTGTTTCTTTCTCAACAAAGGTGGAGTTACTCTTTAAAGAAAAAGTCTGGCAATTTATGTTATTAACCCTTGCAGCGTGGCTCCCTATGCACTGCAAGGGTTAAGTGCTCATTTGTGTCTAGGCTAACAAAAAAAAAACGTTATACTCGCACCAAGCTCTGAGCCAGCTTTTCCTGAAATAGGTCCTTCCAGTGTCTCTCCCCCTCCTCTGCAGCATTCTAAAGGTGCCCATACACTGCACGATTCTCGTACGAGAATCGCGGGAAACCGTACGAGAATCGTGCAGTGTATGGAAGGCGTGCAACCGTTTCTACTGTACGGCCGCACGTCTTCCGTCAAACCAGCAGGCTAGAAAACCCGCCGGGAATCGTACGATTCTCGGCGAGTTAGTGGCCTGCTGGTTCGACAACTGCCGAACGGGCCGGTGCACACTGCCCGTTTGCAGTCATCTTAAGCCCGCCTCTCAGTGCAGTCATCGTAAGCCCGCCCCTCAGGGGGGCGGACTTGCGATGATCGAGAGTACGATCTGCCTGTCCAAGATGGGCAGATCGTACGTTTTTTTAATCACTTTACAACCATCGCAAGACTAAGGTCTTGCGATGGTTGTACAGTGTATGGCCACCTTTAGGTTCTAAGGTCCCGTCAATCATCATGTTTATACACAGTGTATAAGGGTAAGGACACTGTGACAGCAGGCAGGTTTAGAGCTTCGGTTGAGTATAACTTTGTTATTTTTGACCCCCACAACAAGGGTTAATAAAAAAACGTGTTTTTTTAAAGTCATAAATTGGCAATTTTGGTATATGTGTGACACACATGCTTTTTTTGTCCCTATGCCACATGCTACCTTTACCTTAAAGGAGAACTATGGGGTCAGTGTTTTTCCCCATAGTTCTCCTTAGGGTAACGGGAGGACACGAACTAGCGTCCTCCCGTCACCCTAAGTTCAGTATACCGCGAGCTACAGCTCGCGGTATACTGAGACGCCGCAGCCGGAGCGGATCCCGACATGAGTTTTTCTCTAGTCTAGTCATGGAACTGGAAAAGTATCTGTACATGTACTTGTACTTCTACAGGGTTCGGTACTTGGTATCTGAACATCCCTACCTTAAAGCAGGGGCGTCCCGAGGCTGGGTGACACCCGGAGCAGTAACCGAGTGTCACCCCGCCGAGACGTCACTGCGCATGCGCGTGACGTCACCATAAAATGACTGTGAGTCATTTCGGTGTCACCCCTCCAATGGTGTCACCCGCGTGCGGGCTGCACCCCCCACCCCCCTTGTGACGCCACTGCTAAAGTGACATTAAAGGATACATTTTTTTCCCCTCCCCCAATGTTAATGTCAGCACTTACCTTAAATGATGTCTCTTAATCCGATCTTCCTCTTCTTTCCTGATGTTTTTATCTGTCCCTCCAGCGGTGTGGCGGCTCTCCGATCCAGCGCTGACTAATCTCTGCTTGCTGGCACTTCTGATCCCACGGTGTCTGCATGCGGGTGCACGCGTCCATAGACTTACCTTGCGTCTCTGCTCGTCTCCCGGCCGAGAATCCGAACTGCGCATGCGCCCGCACCAAGATGCTTTGCGGCCGCCTGAACAGTTTCGTTTTCTCGGGCGGGAGCGCGCAGCGATAACGAGGTAAGTTTAAACCGCTGTTAAACCGTTTTTTTAAACTGTTTGCCTATATCTACTGCTTAATAGGAGTAGATATAGGCAAAAAAACGGCAGGGTTTAGAACCCCTTTAAAGTATAACTGAGCTCAATAAAATCTCCTATAAGCTAAGCTAATATAATTTCAATAATTGTTTTCCTTCAATTTAAATCTGCAGCCTTCATCAAAAAAATACCTGTTGATACTGCATCCTGCTCAATCTCCTGTGCAGCCCGACTTTTGACAGCTAAACAGGAAGCACTGTAAGTACAGCACTCCTGTCTCACTGATCACACAAGAGATCGGAGAACGTTCTCTGTTCTTCTCCGCGCTTTACACCCTGAAGCCATTTGCCATGGTCCCGGGCAGTGACGTGCGGTACCTCTTGCTTCGGGTGAGGCATTCCCTGCCCCCGCTGGCCGAAGCCCTTCCCCCACCGGACCAAGTCCCGCCCCCAACCTGTCCTTAAGCTAGTGTAAAGGAGGAAGGGAAGAGACAGGGAGAAGCCTCCCTGTTCCTCACTTGCTCCTCACTGCTAAGGCACTCCGTCCATGACAGGTTACACAGAGGGGAGGATTTCCCTGCTGTGTAACTTGTTAGATGGCGATCTGAATGGAGAAAAAGCTGTCAGCTTCAGACATGAAGCTGACAGCTTTTTCCTCCATAATTCTGGGTGAGGCTCTGCCTCCCTTGACCGCATGTCCCTGGTCCCAGGTCCCCCAGAAGAGGGCAGGACCCTGAAAACAATGGCAGGGAGGTGGGACGGGGGAACAAGTGATCTGGGTGGCTGTACATCCTCACAGCTCACTTGTTAAAAACAAGCAGCGGTTCCCCTGCTCTACATTTAACACTGCTCAGCTGCAGCAGGGCTGAATGTAAAAAAAAAAAAACACCTGCCTGGTGCACGGAACTTCATGTCCTGTGCATTAGTTTGTGTCCTCCCGTTACCCTTCAGAGAACTATGGGGAAAAGCCTTAACCCCATAGTTCTCCTTTAACGCAAAATAGACATGTTCTGCACTTCCATTAGCCCTGCATTGTATTTGGAGGAGTGTGTGACTACGGCAGGGAGCACCTTAGAAAGGAAGCTTCACAGGAGTGATCGTACCTATGGAGGGAAGAATATGTTAAAGAACACCTCCTGGCATGTAAAAACGTAACTCTGTGGTTGTGTGCGTCTGTCGGTGGCTTTGAGGGCCCATTCACACTAGTACAGTGCGTTAATCATACAGTCCCATGCTATTAACGCATTCTCACCTACTGCAAGTTCCGGTGCGGCAAGTGCTTTACATTGCCATTCATTTGAACGGCACCCCAAACGCACCTCCTTCCAACACCGAAATGCGCAGTACCGCAATGCCGTGCGTCCAGTGCGGTTCGACTTGGGTCTTGACTTAATAACCAAGGACAAATGTGGGTTAAACAGATTGAGAATCATTGATTTAGATCACAGCTGGTTGTTTATGCTGTCTCATCCCAGCACAGTGATGGAAGCCATGTACTCATATATCATGCACACAGCCACGATCGCCTCGTCAGGACCACAGACAGCTCTCACTGACAGCACATGCACGGCCACATCACGTGGTATACACGGCGCACACAGCACAGGGATCGCTGATTCCAGGCACAGTGCTGCTCACAACAGGCTCTCGGTGATCCCAGTAAGCCCCACCTCTTCCCACAATCCCCTGACTGGGAGAGGAAGATAGGGGAGGATGTGATCGCAGGAGGGAACTGTGCACAGCTAGGAGGGCAGCAGACGGGATGTGATTGCTGCAAGGAGTTGGCTTTGTGCTAGAGAAGAGGAGAGCTCCAGGAAGGGAAGAGGGGCATGAGTATGATGCAGCTGCACTGACCGATCACCCCAAATCTACAACGAGGACATTTAGATCGTTATTATGCATAGGCACCATCGTTAAAAAAAGAAATCTCCGTATGAGTGGCGATCTGTATCTGTAGGATGCTCGCACAGTATGACCCATAGGCACTGACAGTGGTGCAGGGTTAGTAAAGGGCTGAAGAGACAGCTGTCACTCTTTGTTCCCGGAAGACCACATCGCCGCCCTGTGTGGCCATATAGGGGGTCAGGATGAAGGATCGCACCCGGGAGCTCCGAGCTGTGAGTATCTCCTCTTATTTGACTTGTTGCACACGAGTCTCCCCGCTGGCATGTCGGCTGGCATGGGTGACCGAGGAGCCCTGTGCCATCTGCTCAGCAGACTGGAACTTGTCTTATTATTTATGGGAGCAGAAATCTCTCATTTCTAGGCTGTACCCAGGAAACGCTCACTAGGCACTAATTGGGTCAAAATGTAAGGTTTCAGGTCTATGGGGCCAAAAATGGCCGATTCTGCCCGAAAAGGAGCTCATATACTTTTACGGGCAACAGGCGACAATGCTCAGGTGTGAACGGGCACCATTGAAAAGAATGGGATTCTTCAGCTTGAGCGTTGTCGCGCTTTGAGAAACACGGGACAAATTGTTCAGGGGTGAACGTGCACTGTTTTAAAACGATGGGATTCTTCATGTTGTCCTTGGGAAGAATGCCCCTTATATTGATGGTCAATGGGAAGAATGCCCCTTATATTGATGGTCAATGGGAAGAATGCCCCTTATATTGATGGTCAATGGGAAGAATGCACCTTACATTGGCGGTCAGTGGGAAGAATGCCCCTTACATTGGCGGTCAGTGGGAAGAATGCCCCTTACATTAGTGGTCAGTGGGAATAGTACCCATTACATTGGTGGTCAGTGGGAACAATGCGCATTACATTGGTGGTCAGTGGAAACAATACCCCTCACAATGGTGGTCAGTGGGAACAATGCTACTTACATTGGTCATCAGTGGAAAGATTGTCCCTTACAGTGGTGGTCAGTAGAAAGAATGGCACTTACACCATGTGACCACCAATGTAAGAGTCTAGGCATTCTTCCCAATGTCCACCACTGTAAGGGACATTCTTCCCACTGAACACCAATGTAAGGAGCTATCTTCCCACTGACTACAAATGTAAAGGACATTCTCACTGACTACATATGTAAGGGACATTCTCCCTACTGACCACCATGGTGGTCAGTAGGGAGAATGTCCCTTACATATGTAGTCAGTGGGAAGAAAGCTCCTTACATTGGTGTTCAGTGGGAAGAATGTCCCTTACAGTGGTGGACATTGGGAAGAATGCCTAGACTCTTACATTGGTGGTCACATGGTGTAAGTGCCATTCTTTCTACTGACCACCACTGTAAGGGACAATCTTTCCACTGATGACCAATGTAAGTAGCATTGTTCCCACTGACCACCATTGTGAGGGGTATTGTTTCCACTGACCACCAATGTAATGCGCATTGTTCCCACTGACCACCAATGTAATGGGTACTATTCCCACTGACCACTAATGTAAGGGGCATTCTTCCCACTGACCGCCAATGTAAGGGGCATTCTTCCCACTGACCGCCAATGTAAGGTGCATTCTTCCCATTGACCATCAATATAAGGGGCATTCTTCCCATTGACCATCAATATAAGGGGCATTCTTCCCATTGACCATCAATATAAGGGGCATTCTTCCCATTGACCATCAATATAAGGGGCATTCTTCCAACTGACCGCCAATATCAGGGGCATGCTTCCCACTGACCACCAATGTAAGGGGCATTCTTCCCACTGACCGCCAATGTAAGGGGTATTCTTCCCGTTGACTGCCAATGTAAGGGGCATTGTTCCCACTGACCACCAATGTAACGGGCATTTGTCACACTGACCGCCAATGTAAGGGCCATTCTTCCCGTTGACTGCCAATGTAAGGGGCATTATTCTCACTGACCAACTATGAATTAATTTTAGCCGTGGTTTCGTAAAACCTGGACATTATTGCAAGGGTTCCTCTGGGGTTAAAGGGTTGAGAAAGGCTAGGTTGGAATATGTTTTTATATAAAGTAGAGTTCAATTTCTATTTATCATAAAGTTTATTAAACTGTTAGGAAAAGAATATGCAGTTCACAATGTTACTAGATTTGCGCACACACTCATATATGTGCCTTTCAGATGCAGTCACATTATGCATTCAGATATCTTTGCTTTTTACGTGTATGTAAATATTTTCCGTTATATACAATTCTGTGTGCTGTGTGTGATTGGTATCTTTTTTCTTGATCCTGCAATGCTCCATATTCCCACAATGACAGGTCAAATGTTAATGATGTGGTTAAAATGCGTTTACCGTGAGGCTTGATCAGAAAACCATATTGGATGAAGTGCACTGCTGGCATGGAACAAAAGTGGGCTGCATCTGACAAAACATATGACGGCTCAAGCCTAACACATTTAGATGTTTTCATGGGTATTGCACCAATCATTAATAGCGGTTCTACTTCTCCATGTATCTAATTGAATGCATTGTCAGCCAAAACCACATGTAAACCACATAAATCTGTATGAACCATTATGCTCGGCACACACTGCTGGGCTTCTTTACTAAAAATGGGATTGAATATGCAAACCGTAATAATCCAAAAGGAATGGTCAAAAATAATCTGACTTTGGTGCACTGGAATCTGGTCACTATGAGTTGCTGCACTTTGTACATCACTTTTGCTTTTTGCAAATATTCATGTATAGTTTTCTGTACACAAACCTTGTGACTACATTGAGTGGTAATTGTTGGGTTGGGTCTACATGGTGATTGCAGCTGGCTGGACGCAGAAGCGATCTGGCGACAGGTAAGTCGCCAGGATCGCTTCTGTTGTAAAGCCGACAGTCGGCTCTACAAGTTTAAACAGACTCCCGGCGGCAAAAGTCGCCGGGAGTCTGTTTAAACAGCGCCGATGCTGGCGACGTACACTGTACGTCGTCAGTCACGAAGGGGTTAAAGTAGTGCCTTTTTAGTTTCAATGTGTTCTGTGTAATCTGTACAGCTTGATCCTGGATGCTTTAAGACAATAAGAATGTATAGTTCATGCATCAGCCTTGAAAACTGATGGGACATCCCTGAACTTGGCCGTACACTGCTAAGAAATTCAAGCACTGGGTGGCCCTGCTGACTTTATCTAGTGCGACAAAAGTGGATTATTTTAATCAATTTTTGGCAAAGGAACCGAAGGGAAAATTGTCATCTTAAGAGTGAATACAGCCAATTAACTGCAGTTACTGTTTGGGTATTCTGAAAGCGGTGGGTGCGAGTTGTCAGAATACAATAGCTTGGCAGGGAAGATTTATTCATCCACACTGTTTAGGGTGGATGGAGAAATCTGTAAGTGTTGCCAGCTTTACAAAGTAGCTAAGTGCATTTACTAAGATGTCATTATACCAGAATTAATTAATATGGAATTCAGGAGCCAGTCTGTCCAATCAAGGAGCCAGCAGGAATTTTTTTAATAGTCAGCTCCATTGACAACTAGAGGACACCTCAAAAGCTAGGCAGCGGCTGTAATTCTTAAGGTGCATTGGGAACCTGGCAGCTGGGGTTTGTCCTGCATTAAAGTCTGTGAGTGCATAATGCACAAATCTACCCAAATAGAAGCTTGTGTACATTTTTGAGTTTCACACAACTGACAACAAGCGACACACAGGGAACAGGGGCCATGGAAAAGAATGAGATTCCTGATTTGTTGAGTATTGTCTCACTTAGGGAGAGTAGCTATAAAATGTCTATGTGGGAATGGAGTCTTACTGGTAATTTGTGGTTTTTCATTTTTATCCAGCGATTTGACATGGGAGGCAGAAAAGACAGACCTTGCATTTGAGTGCAAAGTCGGCTTTATGTAAAAATCTCGTGAAAGCTTCTGAATTGCTACAACAGCCATGTTTCCTAGCACATTGTATCTTTTACAAGCCATACTGTATGTGAAGGTTCTTAGAAATGTTTATTTCAATACAGTTTATTATGTGGTATTGCCTATTGGAATGATACATTCTGTAGTTCAATGGTAACAGTAATTTCCAATGAATTTAATCCTTACTGACCCCGTCTCTCTCCATGTTAAGTATACCCTTTTGTATTTGCATTATATCAGAGGACAACCCAGTCTAGAGGCCATGGCCTACACTGTGCAATGTAGCTTTATGGTCCTCCTCTCAGCTGGTGGGCTCAACTCCATAAGACCATGTATGTAAAAGGGGCCTTTTGGCAGGCGTTTTCAAGACCTGCCAACACCCCCCAAACAACTATAAAAGGGTATACAGAGTCCAATGGCCCAGGAAATATTTCTAATTTCGTAGGAAAGTTTATACTGATTCTAGTGGCCCAGGACATATGTCCGAGTTTGTGGGAAAGTTTATATTGAGTCAATTGGCCCAGGACATATCTCTGAGTTTGTGGGAAAGTATATACTGAGTCCAGTGGCCCAGGACATATGTCCGAGTTTGTAGGAAAGTTTATACTGAGTCCATTGGCTCAGGACATATCTCTGAGTTTGTAGGAAAGGGTATACTGAGTCCAGTGGCCCAGGACATATCTGAGTTTTTTGAGATTTGAATTCTGCTATGCTGACGTGAACTTTAAATGCACTGTACAAACTGATCTAGCTATTCCCTTCAATGGCTCCCCCCAGAAGAGACCAGCATTAGCAACACTTCCCGAATACTGGCTGGAATTACACATGTGTTGGATTTGAAGTAGGGACATAGCCTCAAAGAATTTAGAACCCACAGTGTAAGGCCTCGTTTACACATGCACCTTAATTATACCGCCCTGTGGAAAGCAGAGCCACCTCCTCAATCCCTTTTTTTTTGTTTTTATTGTTTTTGATCCCAAAGGGGATTTGGCATTGCAATACTGTACCGCAAGAGGTTGCAGTGTGGTCCTTTTGTAGGTGGCATCGTCTGCCAAACATAACATGCTGTGTCAAATTTGCCAAGGCTGGGAATGTTGACAAACCTGAGCCCCCACCATGTTAAGTTTTAGGTGGGTGGTCAGTGGGGCAATACTGCTGCCTGTTTTTTGGATTGCAATATCGAGACACACGTGGTTGACTTCAATAAACATGGTTGGCTAGTGGCACTGCCTCCCAAACATGACATGCTGTATAAAATCTGCTAAAGCTGTGGCACGTGTACAAATCCGAGTGGTCACCATGTTAGGATTTAGATGGCCGGCCAGGGAGGCATTAAAATCGCAACCACTTGGTTTTACCGCCTCTTTGCTGCACGTGTAAACGAGTCCTTAGTGCCAAATGCAGTGCTATTCCCTTGGTACTACAGTCTGCATACAATCAGCTATATGTTTAGAATCACAGCAATGCCATCTGCACACATAAATGCCCCCCCCCCCAGTGAAATGACAACACAGTGTTTGCATGCATGTTTCAGTGATTACCCAGCAGAGCCTATGTGACAGTAAATACAGGGATGTATGTTTTGTCTGCTCGCTAGGTCCGTTTTTGTCATCATGTCTACAACTTCTGCTTGCCCTGGTGAAGCACCCCCTTATGTTCCACATAGCTGAATGCAGTGTTTGCTGGTGATTAGATAAAAACAGGTGTATCAACCTTGACATTTAATAAAACAATGCCCAGTGCCTACATGCAATAGTTAATAAACACACTCCTACTTGCTCTGTACGCCAATTAAGCCATAGATATTTGCATCTACAGCATATTCTTTGTAGACATTGCAATCTTTAAACCCCCTAGTCTAGCTGACTGTTTGGCATGACAGTACTTAGTATAGCAGGCCTCTTTTATCTCTGATATTATGCAGTAGGGCCCCAATATTATTGTAAGTGTCATGTAAGATTCATTGCAAAATATTTTAATTACTCGTTCAGAATACACTGGAGAAAGGCTACACAGCTTCTCCCAGCACGTGGCCAGTACATTCAGCAAAGAGGAATAGGCTGCTAATTAAATTGCAGTGTTCCATGGCTGTCTTTCATTTGCATAGGCTGTTGCATTGACAATCACTTTAGGCCATAGCATATACTTGGAGCTGATTGACGGAACTGCAGAAGAAGGAAAGGGAAGGTGTTTTTTGAAGCAGCCAATCAGATTACAGCTATCATTTTGTTGTTGACATCTAAAGTGTGATTGGCTGACACAGAGACCCTTTCTATATTACATGTAAATCAGCCTTAATGTATTCGATGATGGATTGACCTTCCCAGCTGGGCTGTTTTATAAATACCATATCAAAGCAAAGTGGAATGGTTACCATAGCAAACAACTACATACTAGTAGTCTTCTCTAGTGTAGGTACAAAAAAATGAAAGCTATTGCCTGAATGATTGCAAGAGCTGTTGCCTTAAAGGAAACCTGTGCTAAGAGGCACTGGTAGCTTCAGTAGCCGACTGTAATTGCTATTTGCCTGGCCATCATGAGTATCTAATGTTTTCAGTTCTTTCAGAAAACACGAACTTGAAAAAGCATGTAGATAAAGAGCTGTGACCAGCATTATTGCCGGGCAACTAGCATTTTCAGAAGATGAGCAGCAATGGCAGAACCCAAGGTTCTGTCATCCCCAATTTGCTTTAAAAGGAGAACTATGAGGTGAGTGATTTTCACTCAACCTCATAGTTCGAGCCGGCGTCTGACAATGAAACTGTCACACAACGGCTCAATAGATCAGGAAGTGAGCGAACACATACTGCCGCTCGCTCACTTCTCGATCATCTCCCTGCAGAGAGCCGTGACTGTCAGCCACCGCTCCCCAGAGGGATTTCCCCCCCTCCCCGCTCCAATCCTCCAGCACTGACTGACGGGGGAGGGGGCGGGTACAGCTGGCTCTGCCTCTAGATAGGGAGAGCCAGCTGTCACTCACGCAGCTGGGAGGATCTCGACTGTAAAGTCGGGATCCATCCTGGCTGCGGCGCTCTCAGTATACCGCGAGCTGTGTCTCCCGATATACTGAGCTTTTGGGTCACGGGAGGATGCTAGTTGATGTTCTGCTGTGACCCTTAGGAGAACTATGGGGAAAAACACTTACCCCATAGTTCCCCTTTAAGCTTTGTTGTTTTTATATTACAGTAAACCTGTGTGCCCAATTATGGTCTGCAACATATATTGGTTCTGTATAAGACATCAAAGTTTGGACTGCCACAGGTATTTAAAGTAAACCAGTGCTATGCCAATGCAGAGAAACAAAACAGGCAATCAAATACCTGTGTAGACATGGGAAGGAGTGCGGAATATGTTCTTTTACAATGATAAATAATATATCTTTTGACATGGTATTCAAACTTTATAACATGACCTTAATGAAAAGTTTCTGAAACTTTATGTAAAGTCTTAAATGATTGCACATTCTCTCAGCTGAAGACAAGCAAATCCTGGAATACAATTCAATTAACACTGTACTTCTCAATGCAGTTCTCACAATCAAAAAGAAATATGCATTTCTGCCACTAGGGGCACTGCAGAGCAGAGGCGCAAGTTTAGTTAGCTTGTGGGCTCTATCTTGTACTTCCTACAGTTGGGTGATTGTTGGTATGATAGTTTCTGTCCTCTCAGGTAAGAGGGTACATTTATCTGACAAATTAGTCTATTTTTATAACCTTTAAATGAGTCCTAATAATGTTCTACACCATCACAGTATAATGTTTACCTATAGTCTGGTCAGTACGTTGTTTTTTTTCCTCCTCTCAGTAAAATGGTAAGTCCAACATCTAGAGTTTGGAAACATTCCCACAGTGAAACTTCTGCTGAGAGGAAAGCTGCAATTTACAAATATGTTCTTGCTTGTTTTATTGCTTTTGAGGGAAAGGCCTCATTCACACAAGAAACAGCCGGCATGTACAGCTCCGTGCTGCGTGCACGGCCGTATCGGGCAGCTCCCGGGAAGGACAAGTGCTGCGTGTGATTAGTACGCAGCCCCTGTCTTTCTCTGTGGGACTGCGCGGCCGTACGCCCCCCAATGCTCACCCTAAGTGCAGGTCCGTACGGGTGCGGGCGTCCCGGCTCGGACACAGAGACAACGTACGAGTATGGACACCCGCACAGAAGTGTAGGGCGGCGTACGAGTATGGAAACCCGCACCGGCACGGAAGTGTAGGGCGGCGTACGGCCGTGTAGTCCCATAGAGAAAGACAAGGGCTGCGTACTAATCACACACAGCACCTGTCCTTCCCGGGAGCTGCTCGCTACGGCCATGCACGCAGCACGGAGCTGTACGTGCTGGCCGTTTCTCGTGTGAATGAGGCCAAAGGGGGTGGTTACCTGTTCTCATGTATAGTTGAAATGTTATTACCGGATACAGTCCTTGTTATTCCATTTGTAATAAAAAATAACATTTTAAAAAGCAAGTTTAGTTTATTTACTGAATAAGCTGTACTTTTATTTCAAGCATAATACGTTTATATACACTGCATTTCAAGTTCCAGTGTAACAAAATGACTTTAAATTTCTAAAAATACTCCACACTGAATTTTTTTTACATGTTTCCGAAAATTTCCATTTTTTTTCTGGGTGGAAATTTTACATCGCTAGACCTGTGTGAGCTACAGGTTGGTGTAATTGTCACACAGGGCAATGGACTCCCCTATGACAGCACTGATTCACATTCTCCATACCTGGAAGTATTGGCTATTTCCTAATGCTCCAGGCACCAAACAGAGCAGCAGCAGAGTGAATGAAAAGTAAGTACATACTGCGGGAGATGGGTCAAAACTGTTGCCTTGTTCAAATGGGCACAGCCGAAATTTTACTATCAAGTTATTCATTTTGGCTGCTAACTGTGGTGCTTTTGTATGTTACTATAGAGTTAAATGGAAGGTGGGAATGTTTTTATTGGTTTTGCTGAAGCTTATCTTGTGCCATTCTCAATCCAGCTAGTACAGCATGATGTATAAAATCACCCTTTTTAAATATACAGAGGGTCAAGGCATCAGAACCCTGCTCTTTGTGCATGGACTTAATGCATTTAGTCTCTTAATATTATCTTATATTTAATTTATTTATTTTCCATTTATTTAAGTAAACCTGTCATTACCCTAGCTTTACCTGAACTTTACCTGAACTCCCAATCAGTTCTAGTCAGAGTCCACCCATCATATTAAAAGACTCATAGAGAGACTCTGGAATTAGGGGGGCAGGTGCAACCTTTAATTTTTCAGGGAAAGCTGAAAGTTGGCCATAACTTTGTCTATATTGTAAGGGGGACAGGTTCAACTGGTATCGGCAGATGTAAACCATGTGTGAGACAAGGATACCCAGGAACAGTATAAGCAGGTTTGTCCCGCACTATATAATATTCAGCAAAGCAGCAAGACAGGAGGGCTTTGTACAGGAAGTTTACAGTGTAAAACAAACGAAACATCTGCTTGTACAAGCCACTAACTAAACTAATGTCAGTTCCTGACTAACATGGTGCTCCCTAATGAATTCCCCAACACAACCAGGTAGCACTTGTACCTTTTTAGTGTTCTGTCAGCACTCCACCTTTTCACCCATCAGCAAGCTGCCAGAGCAGAGAGAGAGAGAGAACCGTGAGCCGTGAGCATATAAAGGCCTGTGGACGGCTGAGGCTAATGATGAGGTCTGCATACCAGGAAAGATGTGGACCTGGGAGTGGTGGCTTTACCCACCCAAAGCTCTACAAAGCCTCCAGGACCCAGAACAGAACTTTAGATTCTGAGAAAGCAACAAGTTTGTTTTCTCCACATAAAGCCTGGAGCCTCTCACCATGTGTGTATATGTTAGAAACCTAGGTGACACATACACATACTACACAACCATGGTAAAGTGTCCTTTTAACATTTTCTGCCCTTTTTTCAGGATCATGCATAATTACTGTACATCAATATATCAGTAATCAATTGAGCTGTGATTTTAGTCTAAGCTGGCTTACTCACCCATGTAGAGCAGTAGTGATTATATAAACCTTGTAGACTATCAGGTACATCTGCTTATCGAAGCTCGGTAGCCATCTGGAACTGAGTTTAAGCAGGTAGGTTAGTAAAGTCCTGGATTAATTCCAGATACAAGACTGTGAATTCCGCTTAATGCAAAGGCCTCTTGAGTCACCAGATCTCAACCCAATAGAGCATCTGTTGCAAGGAGCACACTGAGAATAGAGATCTATCACCAGCTAATTTGCAACAGCAAGGGGGCATATTAAAGTTGAAAGAGGCCAGAAATCTTGCACTGTCAATGACATTTAAAATAATGAGTGAATTAAAATGCAAGCACTTAATAAGTGTAAACAAAATGTAATTATTTTCACTGTAAAGCTAAAGGACTTCATATGCAGCATTTTGTAATCTGATGATTAAATGGCAACGTTTGGTAAAAACATGGTCAGTCTGAGGGATGCTAAAATGTTAAATAGTTCAGTTTATCTCTTGAGGACTCCATTAGTGGTAACACTTTTGTGCTTGAGTTTACAGTCTCCACACCTGCCGTGGCAGTGTCCTGCTCTCTTGAATTAGTTGGTTGGGTCCCCTAGTTCTCTCCTCCATGCTGGGAGGAGGGCACAGCAAGCAGTGGGTGGGTGCAAAAGCCAGCCTGCTATTGTAATTTGAAATGGCCAATAGCAGGCTTGCTATTTCACCAGCCCACTTCCTGCTGTATTTACATTCAGCTGCCGTCTGCAGAATCTTGCCACTGGCAGCTGTCATTCCCTGGCTAAAGCTATTTAATCGGCATGTGCTTCCAATATAATGATAAAAAATAAAATTACAAAAAAGGTGAGAAAGTAATTTTCCATTTCGGCCTGACATATTCTGCTGCGGGAGTTGCGTTGCAGTTCCATTCATTTCAATGGCACCCCAAACGCACCTCCGGCCCACAGTGTGATTGCCTGCACTGGAATGCACGGTACCGCAATGCCGTGCGTTCCATTGCAGTGCGATTGCAAAACATTGTGCATGCAGTTTTATTCTCAAGTAATCTCTATGTTTGTAACACTTTTAACACATTTAAATTAAGGATGGTATTTATTTTATGTTTTTTATTCGATTAATCGAAAAAATAATCGTCCAACTAATGAAAATAATTATTAGTTGCAGCCCTAATCTGTTAAGACACTTAAAGAAAGAAGGGACAAAGAAACTGTTCAATAAAAACTGCAAGGAACCGAAGTGGTCCTAACAGATCACTAACAATTTGAAACCTGGAACAAAGCAGGTTTCTCGAGTTGGCAGTTTGAATCTTTTAAAACAATAAAATAATGGAAAAGTCATATAATGTCACATGTTTAATTTAAGGGCGGGCCCTTTCACATCCAAAGCATTTGGGATGCACTGGCCTTTTTTTCTAGCTGCAATGCAAGACAAGTTGATTTGCCTTGTTCCAGATGTTCACTCCTCCAGCCCTAAGGGAGCATATGTAATAAATGCAAAAAACTACTCTTTTTGTACCCCATTGCATCCAAAATGATAACAGATATGGTCCCAGTCTAGTGTAGACATACAAGTGAAAACTGAACTGTGATTGGTTGCTCCAAAGCAAATTGTAATGTCACACACCCCGTCATTTCACATTTTACTAACAGTTAAACTGAAAAAAAAAATAGAGTGTAAAGCTACATGTACAAATGATCCAGGAACTCATCTGCAGATGTTCAGCTTTACTATGGACCCAAAAATTTTAGTCCCACAGGTCACTTAACCGATGAGCCTTAAGATCACTGCTGGCACCTTTTTCCTTCTTCGTACATTTTCGCTGGAAGCACATGTGACCTGGTTCCTGAAAATCCATTACTGACTCTTGGATCAGACTAGCTGGCTCCTAATTCAAACTTTAGAAAATGATATAAAAATGGGAGGGTTACCTTCAGTGAAATCCAAATCTCATAACAACTGATAGATCCATATAGCAGGGTACTAGGAGGAGGCGACGGTTGTTAGGTGTAAAAATGCCCATTGTGCATCATTCAGGTGTGAAAGGGACACACAGATTTTCATTTTCGCACTTCTGGAAATACACTTTAAATCACTCAAGTGAGTGTGAAATGGGGGCCTTAGTTTGAAAATAATCTAAACACTACAAAATGCTCACCATTCTGACGTTTTAACTGGTAATGTGCTTTGTCTCTCACTACCTTTCTTTTCTACTGTGTGATGCTGCCTGCAGTTGTGATAGCAGCAGCTGCTGTTTAATTTATTTAGTGTATTCCATTGCTAGCGCCCTAAGAGACCCAGGGCACCCCTATGCACCTAAATTGTAATGTTGTGGGGCTTGTAGTATTCCATGATGAAAAGCAGGGAATTAGGTGTTTTTTTACACCATATCTTATGCTTCTTTTGGGTGTTTTTCCAGTTTTCAATCTCTTTCCACTTTTCATTCTGCATATCCTTTGGAAATGAGCCATTAGCACTGGCCTCTAACTGACAGTGGTCCCACACCACCAAGGTGTGGGACACTGGATGACGCCCAAAATTATTATTCTCCACCACCTTCTAGTGTATATACCCAGATAAAAAGATCCTGTCACCATATTCGTCAAACGCCAGTAATTACGTGTGTCCAAACCGTAAAATATGACCTTCCTATAGCTCTCTTTTTCCAGCAATTTGTTCACCCAAAGTGGAGTCATCAGCTCCGCTAATTGTAAAAGATCAGAGGTAAAGGTGCTGCATAGTAAATGTGGACCTAGAGTGTATAATATGCGGCAAGCTCAAAAAAAAGTCCCCCGACAGGAAGAGGAATACTCCAGTGAGGTTGGGGCCCAAGTTGAGCTGCTGGAGCATATGTGATAGTTAACAGTAGAATATGGCAGGGAGTAGAAAAATCTGGTTAGCTTTGCCAGTCATAATGTGTAAAAAACATGGTCCTGGCAAGAGGATGTGCAATACTAAAGGGCACTGTGGGGACTATGTGCAGAAGAACGGCCGCTCATGGTATTGTACTGTATGTCTAGCACTGAGTCATTAGCTCAACAAAGGAAAAATAAACTTTCCTACCTGTTGATGTTAATGTACGGAATGTCTTATCAGGAAGAACACTTGATAGCATAATGCCTTGCGAGCTTCCTGTCAGAGCTACTGACGTAAGCTCTGAGGGATCATTTGCAGTCTCTGTCCTGTAGATATGGAGAAGTGAAGTGGTTAATACCCATTGCCGTCGTACTTTGCGTTTCCTGTGTTTTCCATTATGTCAGTGTGACCTCAGAGCTTCCTCTAGTCATAAAGTCAGTGCCTTTTTTTTTTAAATGGTTAATGCTGCTTGCTTAGTAAGAGCTCTAATTACTAGAGGGAAACAAATTGCACATTTTACATGCTATTTTCCATGACTCATAAGCTGATATCCATTGATTCAAAGATCCTCAAAGTTTTGTATTCACAAAGGTACCAAAGGGGTGGGGAAGCATATGGATTGAAATGCAGATTTTCCCACTCCTCATCCGTTATCTGACTTTAAAGTGGTTAAGGCCAAACATTTATTGGGCTAGGAGCCAGGTATTGTTGAATGGTACCCGCCTAGACTCTTGGGTCTGTTTATGTAGTTGGCTGTTTTACAGTCACTGATTCATTTCTTATACTTGTCAAGGAATCAGTGATTTGGATACATCAATAAGTTGGCATGTCTGCTAAGTCATCCTTTTGGCATTTCTTTGCATTTTTCCATTTATTTTAAAAGCTCAAGCTGACATTGTAGTTGCCCCCAGTTTTGTCATCTCTGTGTACATACTACCAACACTTGCCACTTAGTATTAAGTTTACCTGCTAGGTAGACATAATAGAGGTGACATTTTATGGGACAAATCAATATTCCAAAAATGTAGGCCACAGTGGACAGGGAACTGTGACTTTTCCTACTTGGCGATCATATCAGATAAGTAGGAGGAGCAATGATTGTAATTGTAATGTCTTCATTATATTGTAAAGCGCTGCGCAAACTGTTGGCGCTATAGAAATCCTGCATAATAATAATAATAATATAATAATAATAATGATGAGGTGGGAAGAATGAGCAGACATTTTACTGGAGAGCAGCCACATAAAAGGTTGCCTAACCATACCACAACCAGGATTTGCACCTAAAATTGCACTTGTAATTGTCAGAAATAAGCAATCTGTTACCCAGGAGTTCGATCGACCACCAGAAACTGGGCTATAAATTGACAGCTTTAATATGGCTTATTAAGGATTGGGGCAATGTTGATTCCATTTTTTTTGCAGTTCATCAAAACCACAATTGTATGTTTTCAGCTGCTTTGCAATTTTGTCAAAAAATGGTATCGAAAGTTCGTTCACCCTATCAAATTGCCAGATTTATGACCAGCTTAAGTTTAATTTGGCTAGCAGTTTAAATATTTCCTTTTACATGGCACATATACTACCAGCACTGGAGATTGATCCTGAAAGACTTTTGTACAGACTCTGATGCCATTTCCTAGTGCCCTTCTCCACAAACTCTACCTGTAACCCCATCCTTAACACCAATCCTCCCTGAAACCCATCACTTACACTAACTGTCCCTGTAATCCCAATCCTAACAATAAATCTCTCTGTAACCCCAGCCCTAACATTAACTTTCCCTATAAAGCTAACTCTAATCCTCTCTGTAACCTTAAGACTGAGCCTCCCTGTAACCCTAAGGCCTGGTTCACACCTGGGCGTTTTGTAGCGCGTTCCTACGCTCTGCAAAACGCTCAAACAC